ACCATAGTTACCCGGTAAGATAGCTGCTGGACTTGACGGTATTGTATTTGGCTTCGGGTTCATACTCCAAAGTAGGAAACAATATACCCATCACCCATTTCGATGATAAAGTAATCTGATCCCTCCGTTATCTAATGTTAGAGGTGAATTTGTTGAGGTGAGTCTACATTTCAATGACCCGTTGGAACACAGGTTGCAAGTGGCTACTTGTTTCACTGTCCTAGAACCAAGGTTAGAGAAGTTCGCATGTTAATTTTTATCTTTTAGTTAATATTCTACATATTTCTGTGTAATCCTATTCTTAACTCACAAGCTATCAGGAAGTCCATGGAAGTAGTGTGTTGTCATGCTTCATGCTTCACTTATGTTCTCAGATTTTCTTCCACTTCCTTCTTCCGTATCTAGTAACACTGCATCACTGATGCCGCCAGGTAAAATCCTAGGTACACTTAACGATGAAAGAAAAGAAATACAGACAAATGATAGTGAAATACTGTCCTTCGTCACACAGAATATGTCAAGTCTCCCCTTAAAGGACGCTTGAAAAGTCACTTGAACGACCTCGGTTGGCAGCGAATTCCAGGGCTTGACTACTCTCAAAGATCGAAAGGTGTGCAAACAGTCTGTTCTGGTATGTCATGTCTCCAGGTTCGAGGTGCTTCTCCTACGTTTTGTGCTAGTAATAAGCTTAAGTAGGTGTTTGGGGAGATGCTCAGGAGTGTTTGGGATGCTGTAAGTCATTAGAAAGTTACCTCTGAGATTATACACCTATGGATATAATCTCAGTGAGTTTGGGCGTCCTTTAAAAGGCTATCTCGAGGGGTTAGCGTAAGATTTGGGATTATAGGGTACCAACACCCTTTGATCTTCCTCTACTTGGGATGCCTCTAGAGAAGAGTTACCGAACTTGTGTGTGTAGTTTGCAAAATGTCTCAAATGGACTTCTTATTAATTGATATGATGAAATTACTCCATTGTTGCCCAATCAACTTTGAAGTCAAGTCAGATCATTTTGAAGCTATCTGATTGGCTTGTGACATTGAACTACTTGTGACACTGTATTTCAACGATGTGTGTAACAGAGAACTTGGGTTAGAACTATATTCATGCATACCATAAACACAAGAGTACCTAACGTCACAAAATGAGAGTGTGTTGTTATCGACCAGCAAGCATGATGATAGGGAGATAATTTCAATCCACACATGTCTGTAGGACAGGACATCTTGTTTAATTACGGCTCCTTACGGTTTAGTTGGATGCAACGAACTAATGGTTTTGATACCAATTTCGTAGGCCATACATCTTGATTCATTTCTATGATCCTGAATCGGTTTCACTTCCTACTGAAAAATCCTACTAAAAGCAATGTTTGACAGTTACGCTAAATATGAGTCCACTTATGACTTCGAAATTTACAACAATAAAAACGAGTTATAATAAATATGACGAAAAAAACCAGTGTGTATTCGAATACTGTATTTTCCTTTCTACATTTTAAAGCTGCACGTGATGATGAAATATACTCTTTTAGAAATTGGCCCACCGTCTGTTCTGCTTCTTGCCCTTCCCTTTTTCTTTCTCTTTTTCAGCACCCTCATTGTGTATCACCGAAAAGGTTTTTGGAACATACTACCTTATCATTTACCGTCACTTATATCTCCCGAACTAATATGGGATCACTATTGGAAAGCACAAACTTTTACGTTGAAGTTGACGTCTTTGATTGACTGCTCCAGTCCTTGTAGACCACCAATTACTTATTGCAACACAATCCCTACAAAACTCGGCATCCTTCATATTGGACATTGTAGTCATAGTAACACTAATATTCTAATGTGTAAAAATTTATCTCCTTTTCCGATTGCTCATGTGCTCTATAACTTCTCAACATAAATGAGTAACCTAATAAAGTAAAGCATGTAGCATTTGTATCAACTTGAACTTGCCTATAAACTGGCATGCCTCTTGTTATACATTGTTGTCTGAGAGTATATAGTATTATTAATCATATTTGTTCAAAACGTTTCTTCATAGTTTTACGTCGTCAAAGCAAACCAATAAATCAGATGACACTTGTTGGGGAAGGTCATTTATATAAATACTGAAAAGAAGAGTTTTTTATTGAACTCTAGGGGACCTCAATATGGCAGTCCGTAGCCTGAGAAAAAGCGTTGTTTACTTTGACCATAAAAAGTTAAGTTTCTAGATATGGAATAAGCTAATCTATTAACAGTGACATGGTACCTAATTGTTTGAATATGTTGATAAGGCACATGTAACTGACCCTATCAAAAGCTTTCGAGAATCCAAGGTATGCAATATCAACCTTCTCTTTATGATCAAGCGTGGTTGTCTATCTGTCTACTGCGGTCAGCGCGTTGGTTATACAAGGATGACTTTTCCTGAAAAGAATCTTATGGATATTTTGTAGTCATACAGACTGTTGCTTATCAAGGATTCCACAATTTTTGAAAGTATTGGCAAAAGTTCACCTGGCTGGTAGCTTGAGGTATAGTTGTATCGACCTTCCTTGAATTTGTGTTATGCGAGCCAGCTTCCAACTTTCTGGTAATGTGCCTATGCTTAGCTAACTTAGAAAATCACGCTGAGCGGTCTTACCAAGACTAGAGACGCTTCCATCAACATAGCAGAATGGACCATATCCGAGTCAGGCATTGAGTCCTTGTTTATGTCCTACAGATTCTGATACGCCAAGTCAGCACATGAGTTCTCTTTCAAGAGTCCTGTCGCCTTGCAATTGGGGTTCTGGTCAATTTATTTAGTACCGGATGGCTGAAATGTTGTGACGTACTGCTCTGCCAGTAGGTCAGTAAATTTTTCATGCCTGTAGTTAACCATCGTTCCATTGATAGATGAAACCCGACTAGTAGTGAATAGATTTTCATTCAGATCGCCTGCCAGTCACAGTGGAGCGTGGGATTACTTATTTAAACACACAAAGCTTTTCAACATTCAATATAAGATAATAGGAAATATAATGTCCATGCACAACAAGGAAATGAATTAATACTTGAGTCCTATTGTTTGGAGATATACTTAGTTGTTTTAGGTCAACTCTTAACCAATCAATATAAGCTGTTACAGAGCCACCGTCATTATCAGTTGTGCCATTAAGACGTAGTAATCAGGAAACTTCGGTTTTGACTTGCCGGAGAGGCTGCATGACAGAATAAGCTTTTTGGACTAAAGAAAAACTCATCGATTAAATTTATCTGGTCCTGCTGCTCATCCCTTCTTATAGTCTTAGTACGCTTGTTGCTTGATTGTTTGAATTACCTATTTTTGATGATGTCACTAATTCGTTTATATTCCACCCATTAGTTCCTTTTGCATTTCAGCAGTTAAATAGTACCATTCTTTATGACTGTACGTTGCACTTAATTTTTGACTCCGTCTATCTACTTCCAAAAGTCTTCAACAGCCAAATATTGTTATCAAATCACTGCTTCTCATAACTCGCAGGCATAACTTATCTTTTTTAGTTGCAGTAGAATTTCTTCGTGCTCAGAAGGAGTAAGTTGGCTAACAAGTGGGACGAATCGTCGTCATATATTTCACTTACACACCTATTATTTATTTTTATGTCTCCGATAGTATTTCTTACCGATGTCGTGGCACTTCGTATGATATTAAGTTGTTCACGGACCTGATAGTGTTTTCAACGATTATGGTGAGGTTCTTTAGGGCAACTGGTATCCAAGATCAAGTTATTAAGCATCAATCGAGACAGACCGCAGGCTTCAGTGTTAAGAAAAGTCAACTACTATTCTTTGGAATGATCTTGTGATTTTATCGCAGCAACAGACTATTGTAGTATGAGAATACCAGAAAACCACTAAATACAACAAGTACCTAACTTACTGATGCCGATTCGAATTCGGGATGGCCATCACACACTAGGTTATTCAAGGTCGTCGGAACGAAACGGCGGGCGGTTACAAGTGGATCTAACGTTTTTACCGTGCTCAGTGGTTAGGTTTTGGTGGCGTTTCAAACTGGTGTATAAGTGCGAGTCACGTTCTGAAGCTTAGTCTTTTTTTAAAGCTTTGTTTTATACTCTTTGTACTAAATTTATTCAATGCGATCGTTGGAGCTATTCGTTGCATTAAATCAGAAGTTGGTTCATTGTCTTTGTTATACTTCTCTTGTATTTAATGATACACATTTACAGGAAGTAATATTGTCGGCTTTACTGCGTAGTAAAACTATATTCCTGACTGTTTAAAATATTTTAGGTATGCAATTGCAGACTAATATGTTGTGTACCCTATGAATATAGAATGACGAACTTTCTGTGTAACGCAATCATGTACAAATAATAATGAAAACCCTAGTATTTAAGTATAAGTCACAGGATGTGCAAGATGCTGCAATTATTGACTCATTTCATATATATTGCTTGAAAAAATGCATGTAAATCAAGATTCAAAGCATTAGTCGAAGTCCGGCAAACGTTTCATGTTTTCGGCAAAACCATTTATTGCACTACATTAAGTCGATAATATTGCTGTCTAATCTTCTGTTTTGTGTGTAATTCAAACGTATCACATTATTCAATTTTGGTTGAGGAACTATCGGCTTGAAGGTGAAGTCAGTCAGCTACAACGTAGGAACATTCACATATTTGCGTCGGTCGAAGTCGCCTGAAACTGAAATTACTCTTTACCTTTGAGGTTACAATACTAAAGTTCCATATTTTGTGAAAGTAATATTTCACCATGTCACAAAACTAGTCCTAGAGAGTATTGTGGGAATATCGAATATAAATCCAAACTGAAAAGATGCTTTCTAGCACTTATTGATAATTCGTTGACTGACTTCATAAGATTCACCTTGTCAGTTTCATTCTAATCAATACCCTCTTTTTTACGGGAACTGTTGTTTTAGCGCCTCGTAGGACAAGCAATCTGTTATTGAAAATTTATTTTATTACGCTTTGAACAAAAATATTTTTTGTTTCTTAATAACCTGTAGCTATGTCTACAAATATAACGCATCAACCTTCACATATTACTCATGACCAGCGTTCAGTTAGCAACAAGTCTTGGTTCCACGGTTGTACGGTGTGGTTTACAGGTAGTTCCTGTTGATTAGACTTCTTAATAACTATTTTTAGTTAATCTGTATTTTTATATATTTTAATGACATGGTTTATAATTGAAAGCTACCTAACAAATCGTTATATAGCTGTTCACATATCAATCGTGTTATAAATTCTTTGTCACATGACCTCGAGCATATGCACATTAACTACACATGGAGTTGCCGACTACTTACAAAAATGATGTAAGATAAGTTTACAACTATTAGTTTTCTGTACATCATACTTGATTTCTGAGTTGAATAATTTATTAGTAGCGTCCATACCAGAAGAGCTAGATGTTGTGTATCATAATATTCGATTGTTCGTTTTCTCATGGTTTGGGATCATTTTTATTTTCAGGGTTCGATATTTTTTTGCTCACGAAGCTATTAACCCTTATTACGAGTTTAATAAAGTGAATTTAACTACTTCCCATCCTCTTCTTCCCTAGTCGTCGTATTTACAGGTAATTCATGAATAGAAAGGCTTGTTACTTTTTGGTGGTGTTTCGTTCTCTAGACTGGATTGTTTAATTACAAAGTTTTCACTGCTCGCCGGAACACCGTCAGCACAAATTTCAGGTAGAAGTTACTGAAACCCTTGGAGACTGAGTGACAGTTTTAAATATGGGACTAACTTTCAAAGTTTCTTTGATTAATACAAATATTTAGTGTATTTAAGTGATAGAAGCTCATTATCTTAACCACTAGGTAAATTATGTTACTACGAATTTTATTTTGTCGATTCACCCGAATAATTGTCATGTACTCCAATATTATAAAAATAATATTGCTAAATTTTTCCTTGCTCAAAGTTTTCACTACTAATCTCAACATCTTTCTATAGGTCTCAGTGGAGCTGGCAAAACGACTTTGGCATTTGCTCTAGAACATCATCTAGTTAATCGAGGCATATCAGCTTATGTTTTGGACGGAGATAATATTCGCTCTGGTTTAAATAAAAATTTAGGATTCAGTGATGAAGATCGTGTGGAAAATATCCGACGTGTCAGTGAAGTAGCTAGGTTATTTGCTGATGCAAATAATATTTGTTTAACTAGTTTCATTAGCCCGTTTGAAAGTGTAAGTTCAGTTTTTCCATTCCTTAGAATGTATGATTATTTATTTATTTTTTCATTACTCGTACTCATAATTTAAGTTTCAAAATGAAATAGTAGATTTATTTTCATCGTTTCTATCTACTTTTTGGGCACAGTCTCCGTCTAGTGATTTTAACTATTTAATGGACTACGTAATGACTGACTTCAACAGCCATGAATTCGACATAATTAGCTTTTGAATTTTATCGACCACTGAAGGAGGAATGCTAGCAGAGGAATCAACGATATGGATATTTCATAGCTAGACGGGAAACAAATTATTGTGCCCATAAGATTAGGAGTAAATACATCTGTGGCATTATAATCAATATTTACTTTGGTCATATAATATTATTGACCGTTAGTTTGTAATGTCTCCAAAATTATTTATATACCCCTTTTGGGTTTAAGTCAGAGTATAATACTTCATGAATTCACTTCGCTTCCTAGACGGATCGCCATTAGAGGCTGTCGAATCTTTTTCCTTTCCGATCAACTCACATCCGAAATAATATTGGGCGAGTATCAGCACGATATGTATTCTTATCGCTTTAGAGCAAGTTTAAAACTTCGGGTCTCATATATGTGGTTGTCGGTGTCTTTTAGAGCTATTTTATGAAGTCGGGAGTGCCAATATATAGGCTTTTTCCATCAACACATGCTCACAGTGTCATTTTACATAACACAATACAAGATAATTTATTGGGTTTACAATTTAGAAGATCCATGCACATACGACTGACACTTCCTACCTGCTCAAATTATCAGTCCTGATGTTTTTCAGATCATGTTTTATCATCAACTAATTTAGGGTGGTGCTTTGGTTTTATTGTGTCTAGAAGTGAGTTCCACGGTGAAATCTCCATTTTGGGACTCGTTATTAGTATGTGCTTGAATCCTAGTGTTGATGTTCACATGCGGATCAAAGAAAATCCAGCTAAGGAGTACCGAATAGGATAAAACGTGAATTCTGGGTCCTGTTGGTGACCACAGTCCAATTTTACTAAAAAGTTTGGTAATAGGACTGTAATAAGATTGTCAAGTCGATCTTCGGAAGTACATATGCCGAAAGAGACTAATCAATCACAGTCCTGAATAACAACGATAGGTGTTTACAAACTCAAATAGGTTGTATATTTGTCTGATTAGCCGTTTGTAATCAATCAAGCTTCAACAAATGATATGAAATTAAGGGACAACTTCGACCAATACACGTTCGTGTTACGTCGTTCGTTTTATGACCGAATAATTGACTGATACATCTAGTAGATCATTTTTTAGAAAATTACAATCTTTTCGGATCAGTGGATATTGATTGAGTAGCAAAATGAGGGTAGATAATTCATTTCTGGGAAATAAACTATAAAGATGTGTTGACTGGCTAAATAAATCATTATGGCAAATGTCTATAGACTGGTGAAACTGTTTTGACAACATTTTTTATAACTGAGCAAACAGAAAGATACAACAATCAGTAAAGTAAATTTGCATGAATAAGCGAGAAATTAACGACTTATTTCATTACCAATAGACAAGAACTGTCTTTTAAAAGAAGTTATTTATAAAAACCGACATATATCTAAAAAATGTAAAATTTGATTGTTTTTGTCTAGCTTATATCAAATATAGAGCTTTTTTGGGTACTATGAATGAATCAGTATTTAACTGTGTAAACGAAACTGTATGGATACTAGATCCAATAACTTACAAATAATTAGCGTAATAAGATCTTTAGTGAATCAAAAAAATTGTTTTTACTGATTTGACTGTATTTTACAAAATATTTCATCTTTTTCAATTATTTTTGTCTAAATTGTAAATATTCTGCTAGAAGTGAACTTTACTGAAAAAATATTTAAGATGTTCTTTTAATTAGAATTTTATTCGTTTAATAGATCATTAAGATTGCAAAATGAATGTGTATTGTTCTTTAGTGTGCTTTATAACTAACTGACTGAATAACTTCAGTCTGAACGTCCTCTTACAATAGCAATGCTTTGTTTAGTGTGAGGTAACTGTAATCTTATAATAACCTTATTTATCTATGACTTGTTTTATCAGAAATGTAGTTTAATGATATGGGTTTTCAAACTTATTTTTGAAATTTGCCTAATTCATGTGATCAGTAATGTTATCAAATACTTTAATGATAGTGTTTCAGATTTCATTTCATAAACATTTGAATTGTAGACGCTAAACGCATTACTTCAGAAGCCACCTTTAAATTATCTAAAATAATTTAACACGATTGCGAAGCACCTTATATAAAAGTACGCAGGTTTCAGTCCCATGCTGCAATGTCACGTGAGGAAAATTCACTGAAACAGAAGGATTTGAGTGGTTGAAATAACCGAGGGAATAAGGAATAATTGGGAGGAAAATATCTGCCTCTACTTCGATCTACATCAGTTTGAGTTTTCACATTGATGACTGATTAACTTTGAATCTGAAACTATTGATTCCTCATGTCATTTGAAGAATTCCCATCCAATTAACTTACACAGCACGGATAAGTAGTCAGGAACTTTGTAAACTGACATTTTATTTCTTTTCAATCATCTTTAATTTGTTGTCAACGTAGCCGTATCACAGATAATTTTCCACTCATCGTCTCACATTCGACAGACGCAAAACACATGCTTAACGCAAATTTTCAATCAAGTTGTTCAAGAAGAAAACCCAAGTTTGTTGCGATTTTTTCATCCAGTAAGATTATGTAATCCATTTGCTTAAGTTTATTCAGATAATCAGGTAGAAAATAATTTTTAAGCGATTGAAGGTAAACAGAGCCCACATTATGAATAATAATAGTAGATATCTCTGATGGATACTATTAATTATTGTCGTGACTTTAGATGACCTCCACCTATATACTATACATTTGTGTGAGTTAAGATGGATTGGCTTAAATGGTGTAAACTACTTAATTATATCATTTCATACTGTCATTATACTGTTACTAAGGTTTTCTTAAGGGTTCATTTAGCAAAATATTAATAGACATGAATAGGTTGTCACACTCATTACAATTGAAATTCTCTTCATACAATGGCCTTAACATTTTCTGATTTATTCTGATAAATGACAGTCATCACGAAATTGATACAAACCATTCATATCAATACTCATCTAGCGTTGGTTGATAAAATTACTAATTTTAATCAAAATGACATTCTTTATAAAGAGTAGAATATTTATTCTCATATTTTGTCAGGTATTTACTAGTGAAAACTTCTTAAGCAATCTTGTTTAAAACGAGCAACAGATATCACAAGTTCTCACAATATGTCTCTTATAAAGATTTTCTCATATTAGCAAGTAGAATACTTTACACCCATATTATAAATAAGCTCATGAGGTGATTATTTCTATTCTTCATAAATAAAAATTAACTTGGGATTACTACTTACTTTTTGAGCATTGGTGAATTTATTTAGAGTAATTCCTAACAAGTAATGTTGATGAACAGATGCTTTTCATGGAACTGCTGGTTGGCTGGTTAGTGGTTAAACCATTCGAATTTTAATTAGTAGGTTTTGGATTCAAACCGCACTCACGTATTTCGTTTTGAATAACCGTAATAGTAGTTAACCTGTAACTCAAAGCCGAAGACATCAATGTAAAGTACGTATGTGAGTAAATTAATAAAAATATTCAATCAATTAATAGACAATTTTAATGAATTCTACACCATTTTCTTTCATTCTTACACTTAATCTACTTAATTTATTCATTATCTTCAGGATAGAACTGCAGCTCGCATGTTGCACTCTAAAAACAATCTACCATTCTTTGAAGTTTTTCTAGCTACTCCAATTGAAGTATGTGAACGACGTGATGTAAAAGGGTTATATAAACGTGCACGTGCTGGCGAAATAAAAAATTTTACTGGTATCTCTGCAATTTATGAAAATCCAACAAATCCTGATTTAATTTTAAATACTGAATTGTATTCTGTTCAAGAGTGTGTATCTAAATGTGTACAAATGTTAGCTACAGCTGTAAGTGATATTTAAATTTTCTGTGAAGAAACTATGACATTGTATCTTATTATATTAGATTGATTGTATTTCTATTTGACGATGCTTTTAATGAAATCTAACTTCAGTTTTATGATATAATTAATTGGGGAAAAGTAATGACTATTTTATTGGTGAATTATATAAGAACAATGGTTTAGTAGTGGTTAAAGGTTGTTCATCTTTCAACCATTCGGTCACATGTTTCAATCAACTTCCACTTATTTCAATTTTAACACTCGGTTAGTATAACTAGGTTTCATATATAAAATCTGATTCCAACCGGAGTACACAAATCTGTGATGCGGTAAACTAGTTACATTATGAATGAATATTATGGTCAAGGTACTTACTAAACCATTTCATTTATAATTAAATTACGACCGACTCCTCCCACAATGGATGTCGATTGTGATCCGTAATATGTAGCAAATGAGAAATTTGCAAGAAACAGTGCTGAACTAAGACAACTGCCAAATATTCTCAGCTGGAAATGATCAAGTTTCAGAAGAATAACTGAGAGGCAGATGTGACATTACACTATGTACACATTTTAGCAGGACTAGTAAGATGAGACCAGGATATATTACTCTGACTGATTTCATAAGAAACCTAATATTATTGGCTACATTCCTACAAGTTTTTATGTGACTACTGCTATTCTTGTTGTCAATTATTCCTAACCAGGGTTATGTATAACAGAAAATGCTCTTGTCAATCTTTCAAATGTACTGTGCTGCCCTCCTGGTTTATGCACACTGTATTTCATACTCGTGAAAATTAATTACTAACCAATTGTATGCTTTAGTGTTGATATTGTTGTAAACGTAAAGTTCAAATATAACTATATATAATTATTTACATCCTAAAAAGAACGAAGCATTTATTCTTTTATATTAATTTTTAACATATACAAGTCTCTCGGATACTAAGTTGTGTTCAAATTCTTGTTTGTGATTTGGCTTTAAACATATTTAACACTTACTTTTTTGGGATATTAGTTGAAAACTGTAGTCAGCAATCTTCCTTAAATAAATCATAACGATCAGCGGGACAACTACTGTTTTCAGTTCCTTTGTAGACTATCTCCTCTAACGGCTTATGCTAATTTTTTTCCACTTATAATGTATGCATGATATCCGGCTGCCAACTAGACGATGAGTGTTTTGTGTAGCAGTTCGCTCTGTTCTGCTCTGTGACTAAAATGTAACCTTTAAAAATAAGGATATTCTTGAGTTTCTAGCGTTTGTTCATAAATGCTTTCGGATTACTGTTTACGTGTGCTGGGACCACTTGGTTAAAAATCCTGAGGTTAGACACAGAATAATAGGTAAAGATGGCGAACCGATTAGTGAGGTAATGAATCTTCACTAACTGAGTTGGTTGAGTAATATGCTATGTTTTCCTGATTTGTTGCCTATTTCAATGCCTGACGTTCATTAATGTAAACATAAGTTGGAACAAAGCTAGAGCCGGCCAAACCAAAATGTGACAGTCCATGAAACCATTGACTATTGGTCTGGTGAACCAAGTGGATTGATCCAAACTATGTGGCTGGGTCGTACGCACTTATCGTAGTCAATGGTTGGAGACGTTGTGTGACATTCTTAAGGATCATTCTAAGCAGCACAGATGCAGTGAGTTTTTGTCTTCTATGAGATACTGAGTTTTCAATCTGTCTTGTATTATTCTATCCCACAAATTCATTTTCACTGGAATTTTCTGTGCCTTAATTTTTAGTTGTTGCCAGAACTGATATCGTTACTACATCTGCTACCGTATCACTTCACCATCGTTATGTGTTGTGGCAACTTGAACTGATACACATATGTTCCAGGTTGTACGTTAATTATGACTGACTAGCTATCTTCACAATACTCAACATTCATTTTTAAGTTTATTGTACGTTTTATGGTGTTTTTATAATTCAATAAGCATTTAGTAAACCCTGAGTTAACCATAAACTTGTAACGTTCACCATAATGCATAATAACTATAACTAAATTAAACTATACATGTGCACACCTGTAACTATTGGTCATAATTAAATAATCTAAATTTTCTGCATAAAACTTCATCTGCTTTTTTTTTTGAAGTTAAAATCTAAATGAGAGCAACACTAGGACAATATATAGCTTTCATATTATTATTATTATCTTCAGTATTTTAAAGTTCATTTTTACAAGTTTTAATGCATCGTTATAATCTTGTTACAACTAAGATATATATAGATATACCAATATATTGATACTTAGAATCTATAAAAGCCATAAATTTTTGACAGTTTTGAAATCTCAGTTGATTACTGTCCTAATATTAGTTGTTATTAGTGTATTTACAAATAGATTATATATAGTTTTCTTCTAAAAGTATTTCTTCAAAAAAGAAAGAAAACTATCAATTATCTACAATAATGAATGGCAATAGTAATAAGGATAATGTTAAAGTATCTTTAATTATAAATAGTGTACTTTTTGTTTAGTACTAATTTACATTCTTTGCTTCTGGCAGTGAATTTTTCTAATTTTCACTAATGATTATGTATGGTTAACAATAATACATTTGGTCATGTTACTATAAAATTATAATAGAAATTATAAAAACACTGAAATACTATCCTAGGTTGCTTAGTGGTTGAAATATCCATGTTTTAACTAGTAAGTCCTAAGTTTCAAACTCCGCTTTACTCAGTTTATTTTGAGATGAATAGTATCTGTGGGGACGGCCCCTGGTGAACTCAAGGAAGCTCAGAAAGAGCCGAAGACATTCCATTTAATCACCCTCTGGAGAACATTCCAGAATCTCAACGTGTAGCTTTCCGACTGAACAAATGCTAAAAGTCACTGCATACGGATTGGATGGTCGTAATGATGATTTCGTTTTTACTAAAAACTATAAATATCTGAGTATTTTGTACCATATTTGACACTTAGGAATAAGATTCCTTCTCACTCATCCTCTGTCTTCTAATTTGCAACTTAGAGGGTTCTCGTGTTCGAGTGCTCTAGTTGTACGTGGTCTAGTAAGAATACAAGTTCTAGATATAACAGTATGTATAATTTGTTGTTTTACAAAAATATGATTCAAAACTGTGTACAAGGGATTTTAAGAGTTATATTGTTTTCATTATTAACAGTTCGGATGCACTAAACTGCGAAGTCCGTGTTTCCCCACCCCTTTTTAAAATAAATCCTGCGGAAGATAAATATTTCTAAAACGAGCTCAATGATTCATTGTTAGCCTAGTAAATGTTATGAGAGTTTACAATGTTAGTTGAAATATGAGTTTGTGAATCTCCATTAATTGAGGTGGTTAAGATATGCGTTACACATAGTTCATCATCGCTTAATTCGAAGGTTCAATTTAGCTTGTGTAAGTATCGGCTATGAAAAACGTAGGGTCGGTCAAATTAAAACCTGCCTTCAATCTACAAAGCCATTGACCGTTGGTCTGAGCCATGTTGATTGATACAGACTATCTGGTTTAGGTTCATACTATAGCCATGGTCAGAAATCGGAGAAGTTGCATAACATAGTTCAGAATCGTTTATAATGTATAATTTCCATTCACTCTGTATTTCTCTCTCGATTTTAAATTCAAGTATTCCCGAATGCATACTTTCCCATTCTGTTCTTTCGAATTTAAGACGATATTCTCAGGATTTAATCTTTCTTTTCATAATTGCTACTATATTAGTTCGACTCATTTACTACTCTTCGTGTTAATTTCATCCCACCGTGCTGATAATGTGGTATGGCAACGTCAACCAATGCACATTTGTAACTTAATGGTTAGGGTGTTCAGCTTTCAGACACCATGTCACCGTTTGAATCCCGCTAAAACTACGTTGGTTTGAACAACCGGGTAGCATAGTTTACACTTACACTTAGAGTGAAGCTCATTCTTGAGTACGTTGTAAATAAATGAATTATATATATAATTTTATTTTACTTGAACACATACATGTTGATACAAATAAGCACCAAATATATATGCGCCACATATATCATTCGATTGGTGTGAAGGCTGGGATACTCTCCGGGCGCCCAAACCGAGGCAGGTGGTTTCCTTAGGGGGCACAACCAGAGCCTTCGACTTAATGGTCTGACCCACAAGGCAGTGGAGCATCGTAAGGAGATAGTCTCATGGTAGCCTATAACCAACGATCGGTTCATACGTCATTTGTTCCCTCAGGATAATGGAGCCCATGTGCACGATTGGTTTGGAATCAGGGTTTTCCGACTCCCCGTGTCCACCAACCTGGTTAAAACACCGGACATCCGCTTTTCGTTCTCCCAATTTTGTAAAAAACACCCCCGCCACGAGAAGGCAGTGGGTAGCACTTCCCTGGTAGAGGTTATGTACGCGTGGTCATGTGAGAGCATTTCAAGAGGGAGAGATGACCCGCTCCACTCTCGGCCGTACCAGGGCATTTGGGTGCTCATGGGTTGATATGGTTGGGACATGTATTACATATAATTCAACTACCACCTACCTAGATGAAAACTGTTGATTGGTGTAGGAATATGTCAGAAGAAGGCTGTGGTTTGACAAACCAAGATGTGGTTCCATCAGTCGATGAAAGTATTGTCTGCTAAACATTTTGTCCTTCCTTAAACTATGGTATTTTTTTAATTGTCTTAAACTTTGCTATTCCGTGAATTTATTCTTTCTCCCCAAACCATACTATGTGTTTAATCTGTTCTACTATTACTGATCTTGACACTACTACTCTAGAATTTATGTTGGCAATTTAGTGTCATTGTGCTGATATGGTATGAGAACTTAAATCGATATACCTAGGTCCCAGGTTCTATGTTTTTTTAATTGACTAACTACTTAGCATAATCATTTTAGAATGATAAAAGCATTATAACGACGATGATCAATCCACCCCCAAAACCAGTGATAACCGGTAGAGAGATAAACCATTTTTGTATTGTTTGTTTGGACCTTTCTATTGATGTTTAGGAGGACTACAATTGATCAGTCTCTTGTTGGCATATTTGTATCTTGTTTGGATTACCTCGATATTGCCTTAAGCTACAAGCTATATAAGCAAAGATGGATGGTGATTAGCACTGGAATCCAGGACACGTGTTTCGTCCTATTTGGAACTTGTCAGCTGAATGTGCCCGCTGCGTTCTCGTGGCGGGGGTGATTTTTACAAAATTGGGAGAACGAAAAGCGGATGTCCGGTGCTTTAACCAGGTTGGTGGACACGGGGAGTCGGAAAACCCTGATTCCAAACCAATCGTGCACATGGGCTCCATTATCCTGAGGGAACAAATGACGTATGAACCGATCGTTGGTCATAGGCTACCATGAGACTTCATCTCTTTACGATGCTCCACTTCCTTGTGGGTCAGACGATTAAGTCGAAGGCTCCGGTTGTGGCCCTCTAAGGAAACCACCTGCTTCGACTCGGGCACTCGAGAAATATCTCAGCGTTCACACAAATCAAAGGTGATTTGTGTGGCGTAGATGTATTTGATGCCTCCTTATGCCAATATTTATGTTTAAATAAAAATAAATAATAACGATATTTCCTACAAATCAAAACTACTTTTTGAATGGATTTTCGTTTAGTAGTCTTTTACATTGTCGTATTTAATTAAATCAGAGAATAGCCTCAATTGATCTTGTGTTTATTAGTGTTAGAAAATACTGAATTTGTATCTTACGACTGGTAAATTATAAACAGTACACTGTAGGTTTTAAAATTAGTGAGCTTTAAGTTGTTGAATGATCTGGAATAATGTTCAGTTTGATTGGATTGTAACAGATTCTTTGTCCAATATCAAGCCCTTAAAACAATACTGATCTACCTACATAATCACATCAAAAGGAAAATGTTCGTCAGAATCAGAATCTATATAGCAATGTGACGACGTGAGTTCGATCCCCACTGGAAGCATCAATAGTGCCCTCAAAGTTCTAAGTACGTCTTACTGTCAAGCTTTAATTAACGTCTAACGTAAGTTTAAGGTTTCCTAGCATTCAAATTTTCCTTATGCAGTTTGATTCAGTTTTTTTCACATTGTTTTAGGGACTAGTGCCTAACTGTGATGAAGTAAATCCATTTGGTGGTCCTATGCCCAAAGAATTATATGTGACTGATCCTTTAGAAGTTGAAAAATTAAAGGCAGAATGTTTAAATATACCTCATCTAGAAATTACAGAATTGGATCTTCAGTGGATACAAACACTAGCTGAAGGTTGGGCCACTCCATTAAATGGTTTTATGCGTGAAAATGAATATTTGCAAGTTCTCTATTTCGGTCAATTACAAGTATCAGACTGTAAGTTTATTTTATTGATTATTTAATTTTCTTTAGTTAAATGTATCCCAAGGATAATCTGATAGTTGAAAAATTACAGAACAGTACTCATTTCGTAAATTCTAATACTATCTTCGATTTCTTTCTTACTAAAATGTTATTGTTTTAGAATTTCTAGCACCTTGAAAATCGTTAATCTCGATTACGTAATCTTTGTGATGCACTTCTGTTAACATTAAACAGAAATTTTTTCCAAGACTATGTAACAGTATCATAATCTACACTGTATCGTTAATCATTAACTCATTTTTATGGTAAAGTATAAACCAGAGGTTTCTAATCCTAAAGTTGTTTGTATTTTGGCTATTTTTCCCATCTTGAACACTTTAAAAAAGTGAAGACTATAAAAGCATCATACCAGGCGTTCTTAACGTTCTCAAACTTCAAACAGAACCACACTATTGCATATGAAAGTGGATTTTGGGAAATCACGTAATAATTAGGTACAAATAATTACTCATATGTTCATAGCTAAGGCAAATACGTTACTGTATTATTTCGTGGTGTTCATCATGGTTCTGTTCTCATTAATTACAGCTTCATGTAATTGGCTTTGAACTGCACCTTATTTATTAGGGCTAGTAGTATTATTCGGCTTCCCAAACCCAAATAGGTAGAACGAGACTCGAATTAACAAGTCGAAACCCCCTAAATATCAAATTATCCACCGAAATTATGCGCAAAGATGGATGGTGATTAGCACTGGAATCCAGGACATGTGTTTCGTCCCTTATGGGACCCGTCAGCATGATGTATCTGCATCCGAGTTGGTGTTAACTTTGAGACTCGAACCCAGTGTCGTTTGCTTCAATCGGGACTCAGTAGCTAAGTGGATAACGTAATGGCGAACAGTACTGGATCCGAGTCCCGGAGTGAACATGAACTCTGGAATGTATGTACATCCAGCTGACAAGTTCCAAATAGGACGAAACACGTGTCCTGGATTCCAGTGCTAATCACCATCCATCTTTGCTTATATAGCTTGTAGCTTAAGGCAATATCGAGGTAATCCAAACAAGATGCAAATATGCCAACAAGAGACTGATCAATTGTAGTCCTCCTAAACATCAATAGAAAGGTCCAAACAAACAATACAAAAATGGTTTATCTCTCTACCGGTTATCACTGGTTTTGGGGGTGGATTGATCATCGTCGTTATAATGCTTTTATCATTCTAAAATGATTATGCTAAGTAGTTAGTCAATTAAAAAAACATAGAACCTGGGACCTAGGTATATCGATTTAAGTTCTCATACCATATCAGCACAATGACACTAAATTGCCAACATAAATTCTAGAGTAGTAGTGTCAAGATCAGTAATAGTAGAACAGATTAAACACATAGTATGGTTTGGGGAGAAAGAATAAATTCACGGAATAGCAAAGTTTAAGACAATTAAAAAAATACCATAGTTTAAGGAAGGACAAAATGTTTAGCAGACAATACTTTCATCGACTGATGGAACCACATCTTGGTTTGTCAAACCACAGCCTTCTTCTGACATATTCCTACACCAATCAACAGTTTTCATCTAGGTAGGTGGTAGTTGAATTATATGTAATACATGTCCCAACCATATCAACCCATGAGCACCCAAATGCCCTGGTACGGCCGAGAGTGGAGCGGGTCATCTCTCCCTCTTGAAATGCTCTCACATGACCACACGTACATAACCTCTACCAGGGAAGTGCTACCCACTGCCTTCTCGTGGCGGGGGTGTTTTTTACAAAATTGGGAGAACGAAAAGCGGATGTCCGGTGCTTTAACCAGGTTGGTGGACACGGGGAGTCGGAAAACCCTGATTCCAAACCAATCGTGCACATGGGCTCCATTATCCTGAGGGAACAAATGACGTATGAACCGATCGTTGGTCATAGGCTACCATGAGACTATCTCCTTACGATGCTCCACTGCCTTGTGGGTCAGACCATTAAGTCGAAGGCTCTGGTTGTGCCCCCTAAGGAAACCACCTGCCTCGGTTTGGGCGCCCGGAGAGTATCCCAGCCTTCACACCAATCGAATGATATATTTGGTGCCTCTATGTATTTAGATAAATAAATATATCCATGACGATTTGTAGTGTCTGGTATTATATGAAGCCCACGTAGACTGTTTTAGACAGACCGATTTATTCATTCTTTTCAAGCCACACTTTGACCTTGTCACTTATTCGCTTATTAACCTTGACTGTTTTTATATGATCTTATGTGTGTTAGTTGCTCTCTCTATTCATTACGTGTCTGTAATCGATTTTTTGTCTGACTATGAATATTGAGTCACGCTTTATTAAAACGAGTTGGCTCACTCGCTTTCTTTGCTTCGTTTCACCTTTCTTTCTTTTTGTCCACTTCGTTTTTCTGATAGTCTATCCAGATCATTGAGTGTACGAAATATACGTATTTAAAATTGATTCTCACATTTGGCTTATTTTATTCCGTTATTCTCTAACGCTAATTAAATCGATAGTTATATACGAGGGTTAGCGACATGTATATTTCGATAGCAATCAGCTTACGATCTAACCGGATTCAGATAAAGGGCCACTCAATGTTCAATAGCCTAAATGTGAATATATATTTCTTTTTTGATAATACTTTAAACTGAACTATGTATTATAATATTCCTCATTTTATGTTTCTGTGTGTGATTGTAGGTTCAGTTATTACAAATTTCCCGATCCCAATTGTATTAGCTGTATCAAATGAGGATAAAGAAAGATTTCACGGGAATGGTTCATCGATAGCTTTAGTATATAAAAGTAATACAATTGGAATGTTACAAAATTGTGAATTTTTCCCTCATCGTAAAGTAGGTGCAACTTGTTTATCGTTGGTGTAATTATGTTCTTACGCAACAACATAGCTTACAGCTGTTTTATCAATATCATGGGTTTGTAGCGATTACTAAATTTTGTAGTTAATATTGAGAACTGATTTTGGTTGGACAATCACTGAAAATCAGAAAGCTCTGGGCAGGTGTTTCGTCTCAGTTTGAGACTCCTTGATCTTAATACACATCCATCACCCTACCAGTGGTCTTGTAGAGAGAGATTAACCTTTAGACTATCTAGCTGGTATTCAGTGGTTTACATGTTTTTTGTTCTTATTCATATAGATCATCCTATCTAGGTGATAAAAATCAACACGCTTATGATTTGTCTTAAATTATTTTGAAAATCATTACTAATACTCAAAAACTGAAATATGGAAATAGACTGAACCGTTAATATGATTATTAAGATCAATATTTGGTGTTGAGTTTGTTAGTTTTAGTTGTCTGACTCTCAGTCATGGGACATTCAGTAACTCATACAGCTATTCTCTTTACGTCCAATTAACCTTTTGAATTCATTTCGACGAAATGTTTCTATTCAAGTTAAACAATTTCCTAAATTTTGACAAGTAATTCCTTTTTTTCTGTCAAGATTATTTAACTATTGATTCTGGAATTATTTATGAATGACAATCTAGAAACGTTTTATTCGCCTACAGTTTAATTCATTTTGGACGGGTTTAACTCTGGTTAACGTTGTTCAAGATCAGTATTACCATGTGAATTAGCCTACCGTATAACCTTTAGACTATTGTTTGACGATTAAAAGTAGTCGGGAAGAAGAAAATTCTAAACTTAGGTTTCATAATAGCTGATGCTCGTCTTTAAAGTATATCTGCAATCATGCAGGCGAACACTGGTGCTTTCTTGATAAGGATACTGGTTTATCTTTAGTTCATGACGGTAATCTATTCTACATGTTACAATTGGTAGATGCTTACTGTAAATTGTTGATAGCTTGGGTCATTTTTTTCTTTTTAATTATAACTAATTTCTTTCTATTTCATAATTGTGAAATATATAGGAAGAACGATGTTGTCACATATTTGGAACTAATCATATAAATCATCCAAGTATAGAAATGATTATGTCATCCGGTGATTGGTTAGTTGGCGGTGATTTAAAAGTATTCGAAAGAATCAAATGGAATGATGGTTTAGATCAGTATCGTTTAATGCCAAAAGAATTACATAGTGAATTAGTAAAAATGAAGGTAGGCATTAATGATACATTTTTTAAAAATGTTGCCTACCTACTTTTCGTCTAAGCACATGATACGTAACTTGATATGTACCTTGCATGGTGGACAAATTAGTTTTGTAGCTTTCAGAAGCTGTAATATTCAATAGTGAATAATTTTGGGTAATTTAATTAAGCGCAAGAGAGCATACAGCATGTATGTTTCTAGCGCTTCGTGAAATGACCAAGTGAACGTAGGGTGGTTTACTTAAGACGATACTGTCCTAAGTTGATTATGATGGACAAAATAATCTAATCCAGTCGTTTGAGGTACAGTTCGTAATGTTACTGTCTCAGTCGTCAAATGTTTAGTCTATTCTCTGAAATTCATATGCTCAAGTTACATACATGTTTTTTTCCCATGTTATAGACATGCACATCCAAACGTTGCTCCGCTGCGTTGTGGATTAGACCTCTAGGTCAAAGACTCAGGGAGTGGTCCCCTAAGAAAACCATTTGCTTCCATTTGGGCACTCGAGCAGTATTCCTGCCCTCACACAAATCGAATGAGGAAGTATGGCTCATACCTATGTGATGCTTCTTGTACTAATGTTTATGTGTTCAAACAAATAAATATCTCTTGTGTAAAAACAAATTTTTATAAGTCACAATTATTGTCTATGAAAGCCAGTAGTACTCAATAGCAATGTTCATATTTAAATGTGAAATTCAATTTAAAAATAGCTCAGTGTTATTTCCCATATAAGTGCAATAGAATGCGATCATAATCAGAAATGAAATGTTTCATAATTGATTCATTAATTACGTTCTCCTTTTCTAGTCTTATATTATTTATTTAATTTTAAATTAATTAGGCTGACTGTGTCTTTGCCTTTCAACTGAGAAATCCTATACATAACGGTCATGCATTATTAATGACTGAAACTAGACAACAATTATTAGAAAAACATGGATATCATAATCCTGTGTTATTACTTCATCCACTTGGAGGTTGGACAAAGTCAGATGATGTTCCACTCAATGTACGTATAGCTCAACATGAAGCCTGTTTAGATGAAGGTGTTCTTGATCGTGATTCAACTTTATTGGCAATATTTCCTTCACCAATGTTATACGCTGGACCACGTGAAGTTCAATGGCATGCTCGCACACGAATGTTAGCCGGTGCTCAGTATTATATAGTTGGACGAGATCCAGCAGGTTTACCTCATCCTAATGGAACAGGTGTTGATTTATATGATCCATCTCATGGTGCTAAGGTATGTTGTACATGTGTTGTTTCACATTATCAACAGTTTTTATTGTATCATAAAATTCCTAATTAAATTTAATTAAGTCTTGTCATTTATATCACAATTCGACAAATATTGAAAATCAGGGAACATTGAACAGTCGTTTCGTCCCAGCATGGGACTCCGCAATAGTGTGTATTCACAAACCTATCTGGGATCGAAATCATGAACTTCAGTTTTCACGGCATTCAATGATTTGCGTGTTTAACTTTGGTCAATTTGAGATATTGCGAAAGACCAGCTCTCCAGTACTTCTTAATTTTCAGTGGTTGTCTAGCTGTGGTCGCTTAATTATCTCAGTAACGTTAAACAATTTTCAAAAATTCGTGAAAGCAACAACAGACTGCATTAATTGTACATGAATGGACTTTATTAGATGTGAATCAGTGATATAATAAATTGTTCAGTTTTTTCTCCATTGGCATAAATACTACAATCGTTTAATTTAGTTTCATCTCAATCATTAGTTTGCATCATTTTAAGCAATCAACTTTTAGAACGAAGCTTCTTTTACCTGTTTTTTTTCAACAGTAAATGAATTTATGGACTGATTTCATTCTTCTGATCTGATTAACTCTAGTAATCTATTCATCTAATATGTGTTTCATCCATTGTTGTTAGATATCAGTGATGATATTGCGGATGAAATATTTCTGTATGATGAAAACTCTAACAAGATGCAGAATTTTTTGATCGTCTTGAGCAACTATAAAAAATATATTTGGAATGGAATCCGCCCCCTCTAAGTTCTAACTGGTCTGCGTCAACACGTTAACGAATGGTAGGAAGTGAAGTGGTTGAGCTTATCGTTCACTTCACTTATCTCGAAGGTCTGATCAACTCTGATGGGTTGGTGTTTGACGAAATATCCACAAAGGTTCAGAAAACTCGGTTGACTTTAAATAACTTGCCTTACTTGTGAGTGAGATGTCCTTCCGATGAAAGCACGAATATACTACACAAGGGTTCTTACTGTCCCACTCTGTAGGTGTGAAACATGATCACTAATAATAAGGTATATTCATAGGCTGCTAGTATTCGATCATGGGTGTTTTCGAAGCATCGGAAGCGTATTTTGGTGCTACCGAGCGAGCTATGTTGAGGTTAGGCATAGGGTGCTTGACCAAGGTGGTAAGTCGATTGATGAGGTAGTGAGTCTTCATCAACTGTGATGGTTAGAACATATGTTATTTATACCCAACCACCTCCTACCTCGACGAACTATGTTATCTGGTGTAGTAATAGGTTGGAAATAAGCTAAGGACAGCCGAATCAAAACGTGGTATCATCAGTCCATGAAGTCATTTACTGTTGATCTCAGTTTTTTTAGTAGATGTAGACTGCCTTGTTGAAGTCCTGAGGATGATCGTAACCAACAGCTAGATGCATCAAATAAAATGTCTGTTTGTGTTCATTTAGTGTGGCAACTTGAACTGGGACATATATCCTAGATTCTAGTTTGATTATAAATGACTGACTGATATATCGAAAGAGATGGTTACTGCCTATATACATCAACTAGATAACTATGTCATTGCCATAGAGGTTTACAGTTTTAGTATGTAGAGAGCACTAAAAAATTATTGTTTTACAGATTATTGCCCTTTTAGACCAAATGCACTGTAATTGAACACCAGAATCGATTGTTTTTGAAAATATTTTCTTATTTGTTTCATTAAGTTATACAATACCTTTAAATAAACCATTATACTATCATGTAAATAACAAAGAATCAATATGATTGCTTTTTTCGAGACATTGAAAGTTCGATTTCAATAAAGAGTAGTCCTCCTGTTCTGTATGTCTTGTTAGATTGTGAGTGTATTGCTTTTGTTAGGCGTATCTAGTAGCCGCGTTAATTACACACTCATATACTAGAATTAATATTCAGTTTGTATTATATAAATTGTAAAATATGACGCATTAGTTGATTTTTCATGTTTATTGCCTAGATTGCGAAATCCAACAATGATTACTGTAGTTGAGTTGTCTTAGTTGAGTGGTTGAATCTCAGAGATTTCATTGTCATTCTGGACAAATTCGTTGGTGTTTACTTCACGTAGAAGTAAACATTTTAGTCATTTTACGAGTCCTAAGTTAGCTTGTTCTAGTGCGGTTGATTGCAACTCGTTATCCTCATAGATCTTATTATCTTCAGATGTATGTATATCCAGGTTGACTACTTTGTTCCGTTGATGTTTGGTCAGGTTGTTGGATGATTGTTTCTTCTAATGTGTTGTTAGATTGGGTCGCATTCAGTGTGTCAATTAATTGCTGATGGACTTGAATAACATGCTTCTAATGATTCTGTGAGACTTTTAGAATTCTCTTGATCCTAAATTTTTACCTCTCTCAGCGAAATTTATGTTCGTAGTTTTATGTGACATTCATACCCTTGAGATTAATATATCAGGAAACGAGGTAATTACAATAAAAGATCATGGTTACAATGGGGAATACTGTTTCTCAGTCCTCATTTAGTGGAATTTCGACACGCAGAAATACGAATTTCAATTGCACAGTTAAGTAGGTATGCTTTGTACATTTTTAGCACACAAGTGTGATATATGAAACCCTTTTCTCATACGCTCCCACTGGCCTATATCTCTCGATGTTGCTCCACTACCTTGTGGATTAGACCACCCCTATGAAAACTAACTACATCACTTTGATCTCTTGAACAGTATCCTACTCCATCCAGCAATATAGTAATTTATTATGTGGCGCATACAGCTTTGGCATCCCGTAATACCAGATTATATGTGTAATAAATAAACAAAAATAAATCTTTTGAGTCCCTTAAAGAGTTACACATATAGTATTGTTATTTTATCTACAGTTTGAATAAAATTTCACTTATTAATGATACAATACTAGCATAGTGTTTATCTTATTTTATTGTAAAAATATATGTGGATAGGTATTATCTATGGCTCCTGGTTTATCCAATTTAAAAATTATTCCATTTCGTGTTGCTGCCTATGACAAGACAATCAACAAAATGTCATTTTTCGATCCAAAACGTTCGTCAGATTTTCTATTTATTTCTGGTACTAAAATGCGTACATTAGCTCGTGAAGGTATGGAACCACCGGATGGATTTATGGCCGGGAAAGCATGGAAGGTTTTGTCAAATTATTATTGTCAATTAAATAAATCAGTTTAATTGAATAAACAAAAACAAAGCAAAAGCTGGATGAGACTTAAGAGATTGTATGTTTGTTTTTCTGTAGATAAAGAAGCTATTAGTTTTTCAGTAAAAAGTACATATTGTTTCACCATTTCCAATGTTTACTACTCAGTTTCTGTTTATTCACATATCTATATATTTGTATGTTTGTGTTTGTGTACCTGGCTACAATCTACGTTTATTCTTTAGAGGACCTGTGCTCTATGTTTGTTTTAATAGTTTTTTCACTCTTCAAAACAAAAACGTCTTTTATAAGATCGTTTGTCTAAATTTGATCAAATAATTTCACAGTAATTTGGGCGCCGTGTTGACCTGAGACATTAAGGAGGAAGAATGTATTTTAATGTTGGTTTCTTATTTGCTGGTTTATTTGTTTTGTAATCTGATGTTGTTGTTGTGATCGTCTTTACTTGTCAAAATAATTTCTTTAAATTAGCTTGCTTGTAATTTCATACTTAAGCGTTCTTTTCTCTTCCCTCTCATGGGAAGATAATATTTCTTTCGATTTTTCCTCTTGTATTATTATTACTATCTCTTATATATCTATGTGGTTAACTGCTTCTCAGTTTTTGGTTAATCGTAATTGCAGTAAGCTATCACAATTATTGTCTCATCACTACATTAATTTAACTGATTTATTATTCATATTTTAACGAACTAAGTTGATTTGGCTGTTATTTTTAAAATTTATTTTCTCACTTTTCTTCAATTCGTCCACAGTTGTTGATATAGCTGTTTTCTCTTCATAATTTTAACATTTCTATTTTGAATTCCAGCATCTCTATACTTTCATACATACATACACTACATCCATTGCATACACTACACACATACATACATACCTTCTTACTCTATCATATCAGACCACCTTCTCATCGTTACTACAGTTATTTCATCTTATCATGCTAATCTGGTAACGACTAGTCTATATCTGTCCGCGGATCTATGTTAAAGTTGTTTTATCTACTAAATAATCAATCATGTGCCTAGAAGAAAACAAAACAAATATTATTGTGATAATAGAAATATCCTTTTCTGTTTTTATGTGACTTTTATGATTATTTGTTTTGATCACAATCGGTTTTCTTGTTGTTTTTTTTAATTGGACTATTATGTGATTTTCTTTCTACTGGTTATTTTATTTTCTCAAAGATTGATTTGTTGAATAATTATTTTTATGTTTGTATTTTTACGTGCCCATGGGAATACATGTTTTTGTTTTGGGGAAAAGTCGAAGTCCTCTGTTTTATATCAGAATGTGCGAAAATTCCTTCCGTTTTATTTTATTCGTATGGCTTTATAAAATATAGATGATTTTGTGTTTACTTGTTTTTTTCTTTTAAATTTACTTGTGTTTCAATACAACTAACGTATATTTGACACACCTCCGTTTTGATATAGATCTGTAACTTAAACACGATATCCATCTATTTATTTATTATATGAGACTAAGTATAATGTTCAACATTTTGCCCTGTATTGCTGTAAGATTATGAAACACAGTTAATAATATTAAGAGACATTTATAAGTATATTGAAAGTATTCACAATTACATGTTTCTTCAAAGAACTACTAGAATGTAGTGGAACAATGACAAAGAGTTGTAGGTAATCATTGGTTAAGTTTATTAATACGACTCTTAATCTAAATTAACTGAGGTGGTTGAGATATATTTTTACTAATGCCTAGATGCTGTTTACTTCAATATGCAGTGATGCCTAGCATATGAGCAGGTGGAAATGTTAAGATCAGTCAAGTTATTAAGTAACTTAAAGAGGGCAAGAACGAAGATTGGTGAAAAATAATGTGAATTCATTTTATTTCGTTAGGTTGTCATCAGCTGCTTACAACCTATATTTTAAAATAAACTTTATTACAGATATTGACATACTTATACTTACGAGGGTGAGTAAAGATGAATATGTGTATCATGATGTAGAGAAGATTTCAATAGAGTTAATAAGGTCATAAAAAATTTTGTTTCGGATAAATAAAGTTTGGGAGGGAAAGTTCCAGAACATTGAAATAATGATTGAAACTCATGGAGTTAATGAAGAAACTCAAAATAGATTAATGGTAGTAAAGAAAGACATGAATTTAAATCAGTCAGCTATGAATCGAAGAAAAATGGCACTGATATAATGTAAGCTTCAGAAATAGTTGAAATAATGAATGACGTAATAAATAAGGGGTTTAATGTTACTAGAGCAACGAAAGATCTATTACTGCCTCTTTTTAAGTACATAGATGTGGTTTTAGACGTTTGATTGCTATCGCTTCCGCAAATTTCAAAATGTTGGGGTTGGTTTGTTAATCACCTTGAAGGACTTCAGTGTATCGACATCATGTCCTGTGTCAAGGAGATCTCTTGCGATGGCACTGCTAAATGCTTTTTGGAATACGTTATTTGAATCGGACATAGTCTCTCCTTTCTGTTCTACCGATGTGACTGCTTTGGCAGATACATTTAATTAGCTGTTAGCGTGAGTTAAGTTTAAAGGGATGGACATTTTTGCTAGGTCCATGATGTAGTAATCGTGATCAACAGCTGTAAAAGTTAAGTGATGGCTTAAAACTAGACAGAGCTATATTTGTTGTCTGATTTCTTTGTACTTTTTTATGTCTCAATTTCACGTATTCTTCCCGAATTAAATTCTGTTTGGCATTTACAATGATTAATACTACTGTTTTTATTTCTATTTTCTTATATATGTGATGAGTATGATAAGAAATGCACACACATACGTCTACATAAACAGTCAAGGTTAATAAGCGAGTAAGTGAGAGGAATTAGTAATTTAGTCTGTTTAGAAGCTAGAATAATCTATTTGGACTTGACATGGTACCAGCCCCTACACATGTCTTGATTTTGCCACCCCTACAAAATCAGGCTAACAAATAGAATGTACAGAATACAAATAACTACCATTTAGTATTTAATTTGAATTTCGTGTTATAATGAATAAAATTGATGAAAAGCGTTTATGCACAGAATGGCAGGTTATAACATGAAATATGATTATCAACGTATCACAATGTCAGATGAATTGTGTTTGATATGTATCCTGATATGGTGACTAATTACTTAATCAATTGGAGTGCGAAGTTCCTATGATATCGAATGACTTTTTTTAAAATCCTGTGATATGTATTCACATCTTAATTGTATAATACTGTAAATTTGTGATCACATAGTAAGTTACTGAATTTTTCAACTCAGTTCAATCTATACAAATGTGACTGTTAATCTAACTATAAATAAATCATATAAAACGTAGTGTATTACCTAAACCATTTTGATTTATTTTAAAAGTCAAATATATTCTTGTTACCATTTTTTTACACTTTTTCTTTTGTATTCTAGTTACCATGCTGATTAGAAATGGATAGGGAATCAAATCGAGCCTTCATTTTGCAAGATATATCAAATCCAATGATGGAATATTATCTGCATTGATTAGTTCTATATTTAATTTATTCACAATCAACTTGTATGATACTAATTTAAAACACCTGATTGTAAGCTTTCATAAGGTCATTGTATTTTTCTTAATTTAAATGGTCTACTCATTCGGAAAATGATTATTTTAACTACTATCAGTTCATAAATAAGTGTTTTTACATGAATAATAATCTTAATAAACAAGTATTATATTATTAATTTGTTTAAAACTCTCCAAAGAATAAATAAAATTCGCGTACATTTTAAAATGAGCTGGTGATGATTAAAATTATCACAGTTTTAGAATAAGTAAATCATCTAAATGCAAAAAAAAACTAACAAAACCCCTCTGATAATAATCATCTGCTCACTAGTGACTGACTTCAAGAGACACTCCTGGAGTTCTAATGAGAAGCCGTTATCAGTGGAGTTCAACTAGGTCTGTTGTGAGATATCAACTCACTGAAGACAATGGTGTACAGTGGCTCAACTTTGCGGATTGGTTGAAGTTAGACATTAACACCATTGGATGCCAACCAGCTCAGTGGTGGTTAATCGCTCGCGCACGAGACTGTTAGGTTCTGGGTTCGAATCTCGCGGGGGGCAGGGTCGTGGACGCATACTGCTGAGGAGTCCCATACTAGGACCAAACGGCCGTCCAGTTCTTCCAGGTTTTCCATGGTGATCTAGCTTCAATCGACTCATGATTTCAACTAGTGAAATACCATAACCTTATTAGAGCTTGGAGTTAGTTGTTTCAAGACAACTATGTAATTCAGAATAATACTGTACATATATGAATGTCAATAAGTGAAATATTCAATAGCCTAATAGAGAATATATTATTTTTCCTAAGTTACTTAATAGTTTAATAAGACATGTTGTACTCGTTAAACAAGTTATTTGTTACCAGCACTCAACGGCTTAGTGAATAGTGGGGTGTTGTTTGAAACGAAAGGTTTTTGGTTGAAGTCTCGATGTAAACATTAATAGTGGGTTACAGGTAAATCCAGCTGACGAGTTCAAAATAGAATGAAAAACACATCTTGGATTGCGCTGCTAGCCACAGCTTTTCTAGTTGAACAAATCTTATGAAAAATTGACTAAGTCGAGGTAGTCCATACACAAACATCATATGCTAGGAAAGACTGACGAAATTCAATCCTAACTGTAAACAACGGGATGATTAAATGCCCTACTTATAGTGAAATAAATGTATGCATGAAAACTTATAGCAACATGTGCACGTTACAAAAGATGATCGACCCGAAGAAGTGTTAAATTTACTGTGTAGAATCACGACTAGAGTTGAAATCAAACGCAGTCTAAGAACATCATAAACATGAACACTGAATTTTTAAAGTCGAATTACTTGAGTCCACATATGAACCTGATCTGATTTGTTTCATTAGGACGAAGATAGATGATCAGCTTTGCTAAATGTATTATGCACAATGAAACATTGTGAATCCCTTTCTGCTATTGGTTGGTTTCCACTCTGTGTACACTGTGTGTGAATAAACTGATGTTTCT